ATGTTGTTAAACTGTATTATCATGAGGAATTGAAGTGAATATCATTGTAAAATATCATGTATGATAATTATATTAGCTTGCAAATATCAATTTTATTATTAAATTTTTAATACAGAAAATGTATGTTCTTGATAATTGAGTTGTATGCATGTTTGGAGCTTGCTTTTTTTATTATATTATCTTGCATATTTGTAATTAAGATATATGAATATTTGGCATGTGTGACTTATACAGATTTTTTCTCTAGACTTGCCAGGAATTCTCGAACTAAGATGGATCCAGGTTATCCCCTCGCTAATATTTTGTTCATTCATATATTTAATCTTATGAATTGTTCTTGCCCTTACAATACTTTTTGCACTTTAATCCAGCTGAATAGTGGGAGATATATGATACTGATGCACCTCACCTAAAGATGATAGCAATCAATGTGCTCTCCCAGACATGTTCTGCTACTGCCTGTGAGCGCAACTGGAGTATGTTCCAATGGTTGCACACTACTAGGAGGAATCGACTCGCTTCGGAAAAGCTTCATAAACTAGTATACATTCATTATAACTTAAAACTCCAAGAGCGACAAATAAGAAGGAAGCTTAAAGACTATGGCTCGATAGACTTAGACACAATATTTGTCACAGACACAGCAGACCAATGGGTAGTAGAAAAGGAGGAGCCAGTGTTGCACAAGAGAGCGTTCCTTGAGGCTATCGATGAGGAAGATCTTGAAGAAGGTGATGAGCAGCATGAAAGAGGAAGCGGTCAGCCAACGTATCCACAATTCGTTCGAGATGTTGGTGATATTGCACATAATGAGAGAGAATGGGAAGGGGGTCTAAGGGAAAATAAGAGAGATGATGATTCTGAGGCAACCCTATCCCAGCCATATTGTTCACATATCGAGTCCCAATAGCAACAATGTAGGGATGAGCACGATAGTGTAGGTGAGCATGAAGGATGGACAAGCTTCGGGGATTTTGGATTGGGAACACAACAGAACACTAACACTCAGGGATTTGGGTACAGTTAGACGCCTGCTAATATCGATGATTCGTTTTTAGATTGAATAAATGAATTGTCAAACGAATTCAATCAATGGCACCAGCGTGACCAAGAAGAAGAACGACGTCGTATGTTATTTTATTTTTAGATCGTATGTTACTAATTGTATGCTTTATTGTAGTCCATGTATGTTGATATACTTATTCCATGATAATTCTATGTTTATCCTTTTGTGTGATATAAATTAAATGATAAATAGTAGTTCATGTAGGGAAAGAACATATCAATATTCGCATATTCATGCAAAGAAATGAGAATTCTTAATGGAGTACCCTCATTTCTTATTGAATTTCTAAAAAACAATATTTATAATGAATTTTAATGATTTTTTCGGATTTTTTTGAAGCTTTAATCTGATCGATTCAGCCGAATCCCGATCCGAATCGTCGATTCGTCGATCCAAATCGATTTTTGAGGTGCCCGATCCGGATCATCGATTCGCTTTTTAAACCATTGTTAGAAACTATATGTTCTTGCACTTGCTCACTCAATATTTCTTGTAGGGTGTGGTTTCTATATGGTTGTAATTTTAAACAGTTCAATTAAAATGTACCTCCAAATTTTATTATAAAAATGAAATTTTGGTATAAATAATTTTTTGAATTATCTCAAATCAAGTAGATCTATAAACATATGAAAATTTTGAAAATGAATGGTATTTTTTACTATATTCATACATCTCATTATAGAGACGAACAATTAGGGGGTTTTTTTAGCATTAAAATAATTTTTTCCGGTGGATTTTTGAAGTGCATCAATACTCCTACATTTTCAGGTATAAACTTTTTCCTTTCTTGTGACACGCTCTTTCTCTCTCTCTCAACTTGAGCAACACCCTACATTTACTACTGTCTTAAATTCTTTAATCATTAACTGACATTGGTCCACGTAACTCTTTGGCAGGTACGTTTCTTGACTTTTATTTATTCGACCTGGTTTCTATGCGGCCAAGCCCGCATGTATAGAAACGCGGGCTTTTAAATAAATTTATTTTTGAGATGAATTTTAAGACTTAATTTTTTAAAGCAAATAATCTTTAACATGAATATCATGAATATGAAAAAATAAATAAATTTAAAAATAATAAATTAAAAAAAAAGCATTTGGACTTTTAATTGCCATATTGTTTTAAGATGGAACGCCTATTTGCATCCATCTTTACACTTTTTCTGAATTGCATATGTAGAAATGCTGTCTAGCCCACATCAAACAGTTTTCCTTATTTGTACTCTGTTTGTCCTGATATATAGATATATATTTCATACGTCCTGCAAACAAAATTGATCGGTTCTTCCATGGCTCCTACTCCTACACCCTCTGGATTTTGTAAGGGTTTAACCTTCTCTCTCTTCTTCATCCATGTGATTGCCTCTCCCCCATTTGCCTGTGACCAATCCAACCCTTCCACATCCTCCTTCAAATTTTGCACAACTTCTCTCTCTATCAATGAGAGGGTGTGGGACTTGATCTCTCACCTCACTCTAGAAGAGAAAGTCTCTCAGCTAGTTAACACTGCTCCTGCAATTTCAAGGCTTGGTATCCCAAGCTATCAATGGTGGTCTGAATCTCTTCATGGTGTCTCAAACATTGGGCCTGGGATCCGATTCAATGGCACCATTCGCTCTGCAACAAGTTTCCCTCAAGTCATTCTCACGGCTTCTTCTTTTAACAGAGAGATCTGGTACCAAATCGGACAGGTATAAGACTCATTCTCTCTCTAGCTCTTTATTTTATTTTCAAAGTTGGGTCTCAAAACCTCAAGCTTTCAACAGTAATGCTCCCCACTTGAGCCCTGGGCAACACTTTATTTCTCTTTTCTTGTTGGGGTGACCGGAAATTGTTTTCAGGCGGCCGGAAAAGAGGCGAGAGCAATATACAACGCTGGACAAGCTAATGGATTAACATTCTGGGCGCCAAATATCAATATCTTTAGGGACCCAAGATGGGGTAGAGGGCAAGAAACACCAGGAGAAGATCCCACTGTAACAGGAAAATACGCAGTGGCATATGTGAGGGGTTTACAGGGTGATTCCATTGATGGGTCCAGAGGGCCTACGGTTCGATTGAGGGCTTCGGCTTGTTGTAAACACTTAACGGCTTATGATTTGGATAAATGGGAAGGGACCACGCGTTATACGTTCAACGCCGCTGTGAGTTTGGATTTTTCTTTCCTTCCTCTCTGTCTCTTCACATTTACAGTCCTATAAATAAAGGTTTGTTTATTCTCTCTTTTCACATTTACAGTCCTCTAAATAAAGGTTTTTTGACAAATCAATGGAATTAGTATTTGTTTCTCTACATTCTGTGTAGGGGGAGAAATTAACAACCGAATTGTGCTTTTTTAGTCACACACACAAACTCTCTCTCTGATGAATTTTTTCATCAAAAGTTCTACTGATTACTGGCTCTGACGTAATTTACTTGGTGGCCTCTTTTGCTCTGATTTTACAGTGGTTTTGGTACACTAAATAAAGGTATTCATCTCTGTTTCCCACGTGTAGGCAGAAGGATTAGCACCCAAATTGTGCTCTTCATATAGTATCTGATGACTAATTTTCATGAAAATTTCTTTATTGAAAATTAATTTTCATTAAAAATTTATTCTGACTAGTAATTCTCATTATATTTGGACTACTTGTGTTACAGTCACCTCTCTCTTAAGAGATTTTTCATTGCATCTTTCTTCTCTGTCCTGAACTCCTGATAAGCGATTTCACAGAGTCGGTTTTTTGGGTGAATAAGTGGTTTCACTATGTCTTGATATGTGGGTTATTCATGTTTGTGCACAAAATGGTACTGATTCCTCTCTCTCTTGTTTTTGTCAGGTTTCTTCACAGGATTTAGCAGATACTTATCAGCCACCATTCCAAAGGTGCGTGGAAGAAGGGCATGCGAGTGGGATAATGTGTGCATATAATCGTGTTAATGGTGTTCCCAATTGCGCCGATTACGACCTCCTTACCAAAACCGCAAGATCACGTTGGGGTTTTTACGGGTAAAACGATCAAATATCTTGGTTTCTCTTTTTCTCTCTCTTTATCTATATGGACTTGTTATATCATTGCCATGGCCTTAAATTTTTTTCCTGTTTCTTTTATATCTCCCGCCTTTACATCAAATCTCAAGAAAGAGTGCAGTAGAGATGAGAGTGTTGAGATTGATGAGTGTCGAGATTGATGGTCAAGATAAGAATGGATATAATTCAAAATGAATACATTCGGAAAAATTTATGTATGGCAACAATCGGCGATGAGATTAAAGAGAGTAGACTTGGATGATTTGGCCATGTGTGCCACAATCCCAATATAATAGGTACAAGTTAGTTCAAGTGGAAGGTTAAAAAAAAAGCGGGGTAAGCCCACAAAGACATATAGTTTCAAGTAATGAAAAATGATATTGAGACTTATGGCTTCATCTTCATAAAACAGATTCGTGTAGATGACCCCAATTAAATTAATTGAGAAAAATCTTTGACGACGATGATGATCTCTCCTCCCTCTCCCATATATTTCTTCTTTTTATTTATTTATTTCAATGATGATCTCTCCTCCTTCTCCCATATATTTCTTCTTTTTATTTATTTATTTCCTTTATGTCCCTCAAGAGTTTGTGTTCTCTCGAATTTAGTCGATGTGCTAATTCATGAATAGTAATACTATGTGGTTACCTCCTTGGGTAGTTGAATCCCCACATAACACCCACATTTAGCAAAGAAAATTAGTTCACCGCCCATGATGCATGAGTGTAAAGAGAGATGATTGTATTTTGGGAAAGGGTAAAAGACTACTTAAAAAAAAAAAAAAAAGTAAAAGAGGGGATCATAAATTTCTTCTTTTGGAGTTAACGTTGAATTGAATTTAAGTAGAGAAATGCATATTTTAGGAGTATTTGGATTCGATTTCATGAAAGAAGGCGATTTATTTGAAGGGTGTGGTTTATATAAGGCCGAGGCCCTAAACAATCAAAGGAGGCACATTTTCAAATAATGTCGAAATATATTCTTACAGTATAAGAAATCTTTATGATGACTTAAAAATTTATTTCCATATTTAATTATAAAATTTAAAATTAAAATATAGTATAGATCGAGCAGATCTATAAACACTTGAAAATTAATGATTTAGATAATATATTACAAGATGCATTATTTCTAAGACTTAGAAATTTATTTTTTCTCATGTTCAGACATCTTGAGGTTGAGATGGTCAAATTGAGGGTTTTTCAGCATCGAAATAATATTTTCTAATGGATTTTTGAGGTGCCCTTAATTTGATTGTTTAGGGCGCCTCACCCTTATATAAACTTTTCCCATATTTGAATCCTTTCTTAATGGGCTTGAATTTTCATTTTCAAATCTCATTAAATAAGGTGACAGATTTGGATGGGATTAAATTAATCGAAGTAAAAGGTAACTTGGTGAAGAAAATTAGTTGAAGATTGGGATTGGTAAGATATAAATGAAAGGCTCAGACGACACACACACAAAACATTTAAGGCAATTAGAAGGTCCTACATAAACACACGGAAATTTATCAAAATATGTCCGTCTTATTGGTTATTTAGCAATTTCCCATTATTAACTATTCTTGTATTACAAATTTTTTTAAATAAAAATTAAATGAAATATATGGGTTAAGTAGCTCATCTCTTATATTTATTTTGATAAATTTCACTTAATTTTTTTTCTCTTGTTGGTATGATTTAATGAATGTAAATATTTTGATTGATTAAATTAGGTATATCACCTCTGATTGCGACGCGGTTGGGATAATCCATGACTCTCAGAGCTATGCTGCAACCCCTGAAGATGCCGTTGGCGATGTCCTCCGAGCTGGTAACTTCGCTTTTAAAATTTGGGAAACTGGGGGAACATCTTGTGATCTATTGAACGCTTAAAGCTTCTTATCAATTTTCTTTATATTTTGCTGAAGCTCTTCTTCTCTGAACCAAAATGTTTAGAGAAAAGGTTGGTATGTATTCTCAATGAGGGGATCACACTAAAATTTACTTTATTGAGAAAACCAAAATACCAAAATGCCTCACATGGAACAAATCTGACATTGTTTTGGTAGTTTTCAAGCATGAGGTGATCACTAAGCTGTGTTGAAATTTCACAGTATTCACAATTCTAAAATAAACCAATATCCTTTAATCCCATTCTGTCATAATACCCACAGTCCATCTACTCACTATGTAAAATCCAGACAGAGGTCTAATGAAATTTTGCACAAAAATGAAAAAATGACCAAACTGCCTTTTTTTTGGCGCAATATCCAGGCATGGATGTCAACTGTGGAAGCTACATGCAGCAGCATACCATGTCTGCAATTCAACAGGGGAAAGCAAAAGAATCAGATGTAAACAGAGCCCTTCACCATCTTTTCTCAATAAGGATTAGGTTAGGCCTTTTTGATGGGAACCCAACAAAGCTACCTGATGGTAATATTGGGCCGAACATTGTATGTTCAAATGAACACCAGTACTTAGCTCTCCAAGCAGCTCGAGAAGGGATCGTTTTGTTAAAGAATTCTCCCAAGGTTCTTCCTCTCTCTAAAAATGCGATCAAATCGTTCGCTGTTATCGGCCCAAATGCAAACAACCCACAAACCCTTTTGGGGAATTATGCTGGTATCAAGTCTTATGGTCTCATGTTATGATCGTGTCTGCATATATGGTGTGTGTGTGTGTGATCTTCTTCTCCCTCTCTCTTTTCTCTACCCCAAAATTCAGGGCTCCACTTTATTTTCCCAGGTTGCTAGCCCATGGGAAAATATACCATAATTAATGGAGTAGCACTCCTAAGGGAATTTCTTCATTTTGGATTAGACAGATCAATTATTTCTTTTCCTATGTTATACTGATTCTCCCTCCTGTCATGCCATCATTCAGTCTAGCTTATCCTAGCAACTTATCAACCTAAATTATATTTCACAGGACCGCCCTGTAACATTCTTTCACCCCTTCAAGCTCTACAAAGATATGTAAAACACACACAATTCGCACATGGATGCGACTTGGTTGCTTGCACCTCAGAAGCATTGATCGACGAAGCTGTGAATGTAGCAAGAGCGGCAGATCATGTGGTTTTGGTGATGGGTTTGGATCAAAGCCAAGAGAGAGAGGAGTTGGATAGAGTGAGCCTTAGCCTTCCAGGTCACCAAGAGAGGTTGATTACCATGGTTTCTCAGGCTGCAAAGAAGCCGGTGGTGCTGGTGCTTTTGTGTGGTGGACCGGTGGATGTGTCTTTTGCGAAGCGTAATTCGAAGATTGGAGCCATGGTTTGGGCTGGTTATCCTGGTGAAGCAGGGGGGACTGCCCTTGCTGAGATCATCTTTGGTGAACATAATCCAGGTAATGTGTGTGTGTGCGTGCTATTTGAGGTGGGGTCTGTGTGCAAGAGAGAGAGAGAGAGAGAGAGAGTCCATTAACACTCCCATGTGGGGATTTGTTTGGTTCTAATTCCCTGGTTGGAATTTTCTTGCAGGGGGTAAATTGCCCATGACCTGGTACCCCGAAGAATTTACCAAGATCCCAATGACCAACATGAGGATGCGCCCTGACCTGAATTCTGGCTATCCAGGCCGCACATACCGCTTCTACAGGGGCCGAGAGGTTTTTCGATACGGCCATGGCCTGAGCTACTCAACCTACTCGTATGAGTTTCTCTCTCCAGCTATCACCCCACTTTACCTGAACCTCTCTCTCTATAGAGACCCCTCTCTCTCTAACCAAGACTCTGAGCATTTAATCTATGATATTGATCAGTTGGGTAGTGAAGCCTGTGATCAAGTTCAGTTCTCGACAACAGTTCGAGTGAGAAACTCGGGCCAAATGGATGGTCAACATGTTGTATTACTGTTTTCGCGGCCTCCTGTTGTGAGCAATGATGCTCCAAAGAGGCAATTGGTGGATTTTAAGAGTGTCTATTTGAAGGCAGGGGAGATGAGGGAGGTTCATTTTGAGCTGAGACCATGTGAGCACTTTGCTGGGACCTTAGAGGATGGGAGGAGGGTTTTTGAGGGGGGCCCTCATTACCTCATGGTTGGCAATGTGGAGAGGCTGGTTATTCTCGTGGCTTGAGATGGAGGGAAATAGGATTTGAAAATTTGAAGTTCTTATGCTTTGTCATTTATAAGGGTGTGGTTTGCATGAGGTTGCACCCTTAAATAATCATATTAAGGTGCACTTTCAAACTTTGTCATGAGCTGAAATTTTATAAATTTAAAAAATGATTCAAATCAAGTAGATCTATAAATCGAAAATCTTGTCTAGATATTGTGTTGCAAGATGTGTACTATTTTTTGGATTTGAATCCGTATTTTTTTCTCCATATCCATATGTCAAGATGATCAAAAAGATATTTTTCCCACATCAAAACAACCTTCCTCCAAAGGTTTTAGAGATGCACCTTAAATCAAGGTTTTAAGTAATCGACTTTATATAATCTTTTTCCTATAAATAAAGAACAATAGCTTATCCTCGCCACCGTTGGCAGTTTTCTTGGAGTGATGTTTCTGTAAGTAAAAGAACGAAACAACATTTTTTTGAGCTCTTATTTGTTGCAGATTTTAACAATTGAGCTCTAACATGTTGCGCAGTTTTTACTTGCCAAAGGTTAGAGTCTTCGCACACCAGGTAAGTTTTCAAATGCTTTGATAGCACATCACTAACAGTCCCATGTCATCAACAAACGGTTGGGATGCAATTCTTCGCATCAAAATATGGCCCATGAGTCGCCAGAGAACTGTGTGAGCAAGGTGACTCTAGTGGACCGTATGAATTGGACAGGTAGCGCTTTATACGCATCTCTCATTTTGGAGAGAAGTGTTCAAAGTGACTACGATTCGAATGTCGTATTATAGAAAAGCTTTAGCTACTCATGGATGAACTCTCATTTCTTATATAAGGATTTCTAATTAATTGATAAACCCCAAAAAATACCCCATGATTTTTTTAACCCAAAATTTTGCAGACCTACCTAGCGATCAATTCAACAAAAAAGAAAAGGAAAAAATAATTATGACTCTTAAAACTGTATTGCAGAAAAGCTCACTCGTATTTGTAGCATCACAAGCAAAGCTCCTATGAGTGTTGTTTTTGGCAAAAGATCTTATTTATTAGTAAGTTTTTTTGGTTGCAAACCATCTCCTGTCCAAAGATGTTCTCACAGAAAAGATTCGAAGAGCTTATTAACGAGCACTTGAAAGAAAGCAAGATCTAGGGGTGGCAACAGGTCGGTTCAGGTCCAGGTCTGGACGAGCACTAGAAAGAAAACAAGATGACAGGATCCTATTCATATAATTGGCTTACACTTGTGTATACAAGAAACCGATGAGAGTTCTCTTTCAGATGCATTAAGAACTCCATTTATCCCCGATATCTAAAAGTCCAAGAGTCCTTATGCAGATATGCCCAATTCAACTTTATACGAAACCACCACAACTTTTACAAATGCATAATCGGTTATAGAAAAGTTCTCGAAAATCCATAGCAAGGATCAGTCCTGCTAAGGAGGAGAGAGAGCAACAAAAATGCACATTTCATATGGATAGTATGTACATAAATCAAACCTTTCAGTTCATTAATCAAATTCTGCGAGCATAGGACACAAAATTTGATCGATCATATTTTTGAAAGAAAAAAAACCATTGAGAAGCTGCCGAGAAATATTGGAAGGTATACCCTGTCTATATTATATAGTCCAATGGAAATGGAACACAATTTCCATTGGGCTCATGACCATCCAACAAAATGATGGACGATTATAGGAGTGAGAGGTACCAATTATTGGGGTCATGTCCTGCTCTAGGAGTTTGCCCTCTCCATCACCATCTATCTTTTCGGAAAACAGTCATGACCTCAACCATGGTACCTTGGCCTGCACACTCTCACTTTTCATATTTCTTGGGCAGTAGCTCAGCTGCCCAAAGAACGATTTTTCCAATCAAAACTACAAGTTACTGCTCAGTCCATTCTCTTGGCTCCCTCTTAGAATAAGTAAGATTGCTTTCACAATGGCTCCTCTTATAATCATTAATTTTGCTTTCACAATAATTTAGGTCGAACTCTTATCAGAAAGGCAAAGTGACCTACAGTAATAATGATACAATATATGAAAATTAAATGGTTTGTACATGCCGGGAAAAAAAACATTGGCTATAAAAAGTATGTTAAATGAATCTATGCGATAACTTAGCTCCACTCTCAAAAAACGATTACCAGATTTTCTCGACCAATTTCAGGCCAAAGCTATTCCATTGCATACAGAAAAGGGGCCACACCAGGAAAATGAATTTCAGCTGAATTTCCCAATCTCCATTTTCTTCTTGATTGCTCGTTGGCCATGGTATATGAATGAATCAATTATACCAGAAACAGTGAAAATACCTGAACACAAGCAGAGAGAAATGTACGTGTTAATTCAAATAAAAGCATGAATTTTCCTATATGATTCTTTTGTTTTTCAAGGGAAGAGACTCAATATAATAATGAGCATTTCTTTCCAGGCGATGCCTAAAAGTTGAGGAGTGCTATAATGCTACTCAATCACATTAACAATGACCTTTTAAGTCCAGTAAATGATCCACAAACAATTGACTTAAAAGGTCCAGCAAATGACCTTTAAGCAATAGAAAGTACTATGGGTTCACTTGTAATATATCAGCAAGAAAAGCAACACACCCCAAATAAAGTAAATAATCATAACATCAAGGGTACCTCCAACTATAGCACAAACATTTGTCAGGAAGTGCAAGAACGAAACGTGCGTCTCCACAAAAGTCACCTACAAAACAAAATAGTTCGTGTTTAGTTTGTAGAGAATATTTTGGAAGAAATATGAACTGGTTCAGGGTACTTTCATGGACTTAAAAGTGAATAGAAGAGTTCATCAACAGAGGAAATGCACAGAATAAGTCCTATTTCACGAAGAAAAGAAAGCATCAGCACTAAGTTCTAGATGCATTCATTGTTCTCTTAAGCACCAGCCTAGCACTACAAGGAAGCAAGTGGGCAGCATCTGCAAAATAATTGATCCTTCTCCAAGAAGGCGCTAGACATCCACAATAAAATAAGAAACACGGCTTACTAGGGAATTATGTAACTCCCAACATATGTTGCCTCTGAGAACTGTGTCACAAACTAAAGGGGGCGAAAACATGCTTAATCTTTCCACCCTTCTTCACATCACATAGAATTAGGGATATTGGAATAAACAATGCTATCATGGTTACATGTGAAGATCTCATCCTAAATGGTCAGCCACTAGTAGACAGACATGAACTCAGCACACTACTCTCCGGTGATGGCATCCACTTAACAGATACATGAGATGCTCACAGGCACAATTTGATCATGGAAACCCCCTTCCATAACTCAAAATCCATGAAAACCCCCTAAATATTCCAGCATTTGCCAATCTATCTCAAAGGAATAAGACTCCACTTGAACAATCTAGCATTTCACCAGCTCTAAGACCACCTTCTCCCCGCCTGCACCCCCCAACCACATCCTCACCTCTTCAAAGTCCAGACATTCTTGGGTTTGGAACCTCCTGATACATGCTAATCTGAAAATACCAAGAACCTTAAGCACAAAGACCCTTCACAAACCAAACACCCCAACCCCAATCCCAGCAGCGTCATTCCTTACATCCAAAAAATATAAAATAAAAAAGGAAACCCAATTGGAGAAAATACTGGATCATCACAATAATCATCATCAGAGCCTTTTCCCAACTATTTGGGGTTGCCACACAAATCCTGGTCTGCTATTCTACTCTATCAAGGGCTATACCTTTAGTGAGGCCATAAGTCTCAATATTTTTTCTTACTACTTCCAACCATGTCCTTTGGGCACCCCTTGCCCTTTTGGAGTCTTTTAGTTGAACGAACTCATACCTCCTAACATATGTAGTACTGGGTTTGCGCTGCACATGTCTAACCCGCCGAAGTCTACATTCTCTCATCTTATCGCCTATTGGAGCCACACCTAAGTTTTTTAAATATATTAATTTCGAATTGTATCCCTGGTTTTCTTGCCACTCATCCATCTCAACATCCTTATCTCAGCTGCATTCATCCTATTGGTATATTGTTTCTTGACCGCCCAACAATGTAGCCCATAAAGCAAAGCTGGTCTCACAGCTGTTCTATAGAAATTCCCCTTCAGCTTTATTAGTATGTGGCGATCACATAAAACTCCGATTGTACATCTCTACTTTGCCCACTCAGCTCTGATGCTATGTGTGATGTCTTCATCAATCTCTCTATTTTCTTGGATTATTGACCCAAGATATCAAAAAGGCATTCTTTTTGGTATTTCTTGGCTGTCAATCTCAACTACTTCCTTGTATCTACTCCTATTATTACTAAACTTGTATTCCATCCATATACTCTGTCTTAGTCCAGCTAATTTTAAAACTTTTAGATTCTAGAACATCCCTCTAAAGTTCTAACTTTGTGTTGACGTAGCTTAGGGTTCGATCAATCAAAACTATGACATCCACGAACAGCATACACTATGGTACCTCATCTTGTAGGTGCCTAGTTAATTCGTCCATAACTAAGACAAATAGGTATGGACTCAATGTTGACCCCTGATGTAGACATATCATTACTAAATCTTGTCTTTCTACCAGTTGCTCGTACAATAGTTAGCACTCCCTTGTATAATCTCTCACCAAGTCGATATAGCATCTGGGGATTCATTTCTTTTCCAATCCCCACTAAATTAAATCTCGAGGCACTCTATATTAAGGCTTCATTTACATTAATAAAGATCATGTGGAGGTCTTTTCCCTTCGCCACACACTTCTCACTCAGTTGTTTAAGTAGGAAATTAGCCTCAATCGTTGATCCCTGGCATAAAACCGAATTGATTTTATGATATACTTGTTTCATGCCTTAGTTGCTTCTCAATCACTCTCCCTCATAAGTTTAATCCCTCAATAGTTTGCACGGTTCCGTATATCTCATTTGTTCTTCTAAATAGGTACTACAATACTTTTTATCCATTCGTTTGGCATTTTCTTTGTTCTCAACACCTTGCTAAACTTGGTTAGCCAATGAATGCTGATCTCCCCTATGCACTTCTAAACCTCTATCAGGATACCATATGCTCCTAAAGCCATTCCTATCTTCATCATCTTCAAAGCTTCTTTCACTTCCGATATCCTAATCTTACAAGTGTATCTATGGCCTAGGCCTTCATTTATGCCTACAGTTTCTTCTATCGCCATGTTCCTATTTTGTTTTTCATTTAATAATTTTTTAAAATAAACTCTCCACGTTTCGTTGACCTCTTTATCTTTCACCAAGACCATTTGATCCTCACTCCTAATGCATTTAATATGGTCTAGATCCCTATATTTTTTCTCTCATTTATACTAATTTGAAGAATCTTTTTCACCTTTTCTTGTTCCCAATTTAATGTATAAATTATCATATGCCTTAAATTTAGCTTTATTATTTGTTTAGCACTTTTCCATAGTTTTAAAAAGCGGACCGCCCAACGCCTAGGCGGTCCAGAAGGCCTGGGCGATGGCCAAACTAGGCGGATATCCCTGGGCGCCTGCCTGAGCGCCTGTGCACCTGCCCAGGGCCGACACCCTGGCCAGGGGAGGAAATGTGGCTCTTTGAGGGTATTTTTGGGTCATTTTTTTAATACTAAAGGGGTAAAATTGTAGGTTTTAGGTTCATTTGAAACCTAACACCCATTTGAGGCTATTTTAGAGAGATAAAACCCCAAAAAGAAAAAAAAAATCTACTAGACAACCCAGGTTCTGGGCGCCGGCCTAGGCGTTGGGCGGCCTGAACCCCACTGACCGCCTAGGTGCCGCCTAGTGCTTTTTGAAACACTGCATTTTTCTTAGCATTTTTATATTCTTCTAAGTTTTGATTAGTTCTATTACATTACAAAGTTTTATAACATGATCGTTTTTTGCTAATGGCCTTTTGAACCTCATCACTCCACCACCAAGTTTCCTTATTGCAATTTCTTTTCCCTATAGTTTCTACTAAAACGTCTTTTGCCACTTTCTTAATACAGTCAGCTATCTCATTCCACATAACATTGACTTCATGTTCAGAGTTCCATTTTTCTTTTTTAACTAATTTGACATAAGTCTATTTTTTCATTTCTTAAAATCCACTACCTAGTACTTGGATACCTATTAATTTCACCCATTCTCTTCCATCTCTTTATGCAAATGTCCATAACCACGAGCCTACATTGCGTAGTCAAACTCTCTCTTGGGATAACCATACAATCTTTACATGATTGTCGATCTACCTCTTTAATTAGGAAGAAGTCTATTTGGCTTTTATATGATTCACTTTATTGGTTATTAAATATTCATCTCGCTTTTTGTTCCCAGATAAGCCAATGAAACCAATTATGCTTCTTGTTCCTCTATATCATTTGCTTAAAACTAGCAATATTTAACAGCCAAATATTAATATCACCACAAATGACATTAAGTCTCATACGATCACAATAACTAGAATTTCAACATTCTTTCAGGAGACACACCTTAATTGGAGAGAGGTCATAAAAGAAGAAAACTCCAGGAAGAGTTTGACCATGACCAAATTCTGAATTCCGGAAGTGCTCAGTAACCGAAAACTGCATGTCCAACAGCAAGTTAATACAAATTTTTTATCATAAAGTCTACAAATTTGCATTTTGGAATCATAACTCAACCTGATTTGACTGGATGGTATTCCCCTTGATGTCAGTGTAGACAGTAGGAACCACCTGAGCAAGTACACCACAAACATACATGAACTTCCTGAATCATAGCCCTTCAGAACAGCTACTGATAAAACATTGAATAGATCATAAAGGAACTTATATCACAAGCTACTCATTCTAAATACACGTCAGATAATCCTTCCAGAATAAGAAAAATATTGCTAAAACAATCTACAACTAAAAGGTCTGATTCACCTTCCATGGTATGCTATGATAAACTCTAGATGGTTACAAACTACCAAACATAATAAAAAGATGCAAGAAAAGGAAAATGCTAACACCGACCTTTATGAAGTACTGGTACATTCCAGATGGTGCTTTTTGCTCCCAATGAACCCTGGAAGTTCCAGAAATTAGGACCAGGTTGTTACATATAAACATTCAGGTAAGTTGCACAGAGAGATCCAAGTTAGGTGATTGGTGCAGCTTACCCATCAAGAGGATTGACTGCACCCGGAAAATAATCTCCAAAAGCCAGTCGATTTATTTTGTGGCTTATCTATATCATACAAAGCAGTTAGAAAAGACATCCTAAAAATCAATAAACAAACTGGATAACCACCAAGAAGATAAAGGCTTACGATACTCAAAGGGGGAAAAGAAAACCCTGCAACATAAAAATTTGAAGTCAAGGATAACATGTGAATACTCACATTAAAATTGTCTTTCTGAAATGCCAATAAATCATGCACATGAATATGTGATTGTTGGAAGCTTTTCCCAGGAGCGAAATGAAAATTTCCAGCAACCTTATTCACTTCCAGGAACCCATAGATGTTGCATCCTTCACCATCTTCCTCTTTAATCCTTTGGAGAAAACCCTCTCTTTTACACTGGAGCCCCAATATATGTAAGTTAAAATCATCAGCAGTAGCATAAATCTTACTTCATATATATAATGACTAGTAATTGAATATGCCACGAGTCCATTTTATGGTAGGGGCCCAAATCCCACTGACATACCACTTTTTTCTCACCAAAGGATAGGGGTCCAAATCCCGACTGACTTACAACTTGAGAATGACCTGAGGCATTGGCGGTAGTATTGCCAAGCTCTATGGTGAGGTCTCTGAATCCATTCTCACCAAAAGGTAGGGGCCCAAATCCCCACTGATTTACCACTTTCTTTTAGGAAAAGAGCCTGGGCTTAAGTGGTTAGCGCTTGACGATTTGCAACGCTACATTCTAGGCTCAATTACTACCAGGGTAGGGGCCCTCTCCCACTGACTCACCCAAAAATAAAAAATTGCCACGAGCGTAGTTGGCATCTTACGTGAAATAAGGGTGATATAAGATATTACAGACACGTCAGTTTGACATATAAAACAGCAAGCTGTTGAATCATAGCTATAATAATGTTTTTTTCTTATTTGATGATCAGACATCCACATGCAACCTCATCATAGAGGAATACATTAAAGCACCACACAACACCAACACACCCAAACACCCACCTAGCCCAACCTTAAGAGCCAGCCCATAAACTTCTCTATAAATTTAGGCAACTAACAAAGCTCAGTCCAAATTCTAGGTTAAACCAGTAAAAGGCAAGATCAAATCTGAATTATGGCCCTCAGGCAGTTTCAGTTTTGGGTTGAATCAGCTGCTCACTGGTTGGTCTGGAATGAATAATCCAAACTATTTGTTTCTAGTATCAACTAGTCGAAGCCCAGTTCAGTTTTAAGGCTAAAAAATAGCTTTTTGGTCTTCTCTTTTTTATTAACTGTCCAGGTTGACCCACCCAGCCAGTTTTAGACCAGTTTTGGTGAGGATAACCAGACTAAGAAAGTTCAGATATGTGTTTATTTGACAACCATGGCAAAAATGTGGCATAAATACCACCAATTTCGGAAAAATGATATGTATGCTCCCCAAAGAACTTTCGGCAACCACAAATGTAGTCACATCAAGTCAGTCCATTGACTTTTTTAAAAGTTGAAATAACAACCTGCCAAAGTTCTGTAAGCTCTTAGAGCTCTTAGACCGTACCTCAATAATGGAAATTGATAGAGCCAACTAGAGATTACTAAATCAGAATATCTTTAAATTACCAATTGACTAGCTATCCAGAAACTATGTAAATGTCCCAACTTTTGGAACCAAGGGTTCAAATCTCCAATGAATTGCCCCACTTTCGTCTCTTTTTATGGCCTTTTTCTTTTCTTTTTTTCTCATGACTATTTAAATGAACATGGCACCATTTCAAGCCAGTGTTCAGTTAACTTCATAACAAAAAAAAACATTTCAAGCCAGTGTTCACAAACTCATCTGAGCCGACACGGACTGGGGGTGAGCGGCTGCCAAGCCTAGAGTTCCCTATAAGGTAATCAGGCGAGTACTGTACAAACTTCCCGAGTACTGTTCAAACTGAGGTGAGTCAGCCCTAGATTTTACAATACCTGGGTAAGATCTCGCTCGAGACTGTACAAGTCACAAAAAAAGAAGAAAAAGAAGCCCCCCCCCAGTTCTTATTTTCTTCGATTTTGACTAGAAGGGTGTGCGCTCTGAGCCCAATTTGATCCTACAGCTAGATATTCTCCTGACATATCTATAAGATACATTAAATTTGAAAAAAAAAATCAGATTTGATAGATTGTTTATATCAATAATTTCAAGCCTTGCCTGATTTTGGAAATTGCGATTTCTTGGCAAACAACAGTGAATCATCAACGAAATTTATTCCCTACAACTATTTTTATATTCTTCATCTCACCATAAGCTTGATTTTCACAAAAACAAGTAAAATAAAGGGATTTAAGAGAGTTGAAATTCGAATATACTATCCATCCGAAAGTTCAAGAGCTCAGATCTCCTAGATTCGAACTCAAAATTTAAAACTGCTTTGGGGATTTGGATTTGGGTTGTTTGAGTAAGCTTTGACAAAGATCGGAGACATCATTCCACACCAAGTGTAAAGAATATTGATCAGCCTAAAAAATTAAGTTAAAGTTCATTTTCTCAAATTCAAATAATATATTTATTCTTTAAATTCATATACTATTCTTACTAAATCAATTATAATTGATTTATAAGTAATTTTGTATGTATATAACCACTACTTTTCTTTTTCTTTTCTTTCAAATTTTATGATCTTCCTATTTTTCTTATTTCCCCCTCTTTTTTAACGGACTGATTGAGGGCATGGCCCTTGATAGAGCAGAATGACGAAATAGGATTCATGCAGCCGACCCCAAATACATGGGATAAGACTCAAGATTCCTACAATTGTACTAAAACCAAAAGAGCTGAGCAAAATAATGGAGTATTCTTCAAGATTTCACCTGATCAATCAAATCGGGATTTGTAAGACCCCAACCTTTTTTCCTATATGCTTCACGAACCTCTTCACATGAGTTACAACATTCATCATCAGACTGCAAAGAAAATTTTAATTTAAAATCAGAAGTTACACAAAGAGAAGCTCATAACAATTACTAACAATTAGCTAAAACAGAGATTTTAAAGGAGCAGCACCTAAGTGTTCACATCAAATATAACACAGAAGAGAAAACAATTCCCCAACAAAGTATGAAAAAGCGGAACGGAGATCGGAATTTATATTATTAACAGACAAATCTTACACAAAATTCCAGAGTAACAATCAAAGGAGAAACATGAAGAAAGAAAGGAACTTGAGACATAATATCATCAATTGTTGATTATAGTGATATCATATCTTGATTTTCTCTTTGATTTTCATGCATATGTTTTATTTATTTCTCTGGAAATATGTACATCATCAACAGCCAAATATTACATACCAAACACACTAAATTCCAGAGAAACAAAAAAAGCTTCAAATTAGAAAAATCAGATGACAGCAAGTGAAGACAAACACAATCTCATGCAAACCAAATAAAAGCATAGGATTCAATCCTTATCCATTCAAAGAATATTTAAAAGTATAGAAAGAATTATAGGCAACAAAAAGATATACCACCATGTATATCATTCAATAGCCTTCTTAGACATATCATATTGGCTGAATTACATTAAACTCAACTCAAACTTGATCTCCAAGCGGACATTCAAAGAAAATGTATACAAGCATTTATTTCTAGGAAGGAAAAACACGAAATATCTTAGCTAATTCCATTTGGGAAGGGCAGTTTTACCTCAATGCTAACCAGAACCAAGTTTGGAAAATATTTGCTCATTAAGGCCCCATTTGGATGGTCCAACAATTCCATTAAAAAAAGGGGTTAAGTGCAACGGATTAGCATAAAACTAATCGTAGATTAGTAACAATACCATGTGCTTTCCGTCTTTGCTCCTAAATGGGTGGGAAACCAAACAGCCGTATTTGTTAATAAATAGTCTGCCGAAACAGGCCTAAGAGCAACTGATTAGCATAAAACTACATAACTATAGATGAGATCCCAGTTCTCATAGGGGAGGACGTTCCTAGGAAGAAATCCCACATGACAGACAATGTTAAAACATAGAGTCAGTACTGCATATACGATAAAGTTCGAAAGTGTTATGA